TGTGTACATCTTTTTATTTTGCCTTGATATTTTCCTTGTTTAAATTTTTTTTCCTTTTTAGTGTCACTTGTACTGATAATCGTGTCTTGAATCCAAAATTTTTAGTTGTCTACATCTGTTGAAATTTAATATGAGTCCTGAGCTTCTTAACAAGGTTTCCCACCTTTTTCAGTCAGGATGAGTTAATACTAAGGAGTCAAGATCAGTCAATTTCCGACTGTGGTGAGTAGGGTAAAATATTTTGAGGGATTAACGAGTCTTTCTCCTTGGTACATCTTATGACAAGTTTGGTTCGTTAGCTGTAATGTTTTTCAGATCTATTACCTCTGGTGAAATACGAAAGCGTTCAGAGTTCTTCGAACCCTTTATTTTGGGATTAACAAATGCAACAGTAGAACAGTTTTGTTTAATATAATAAATTTTTTGTATGCTTACAAAGCTCGACATCCCTTCATGCATTATTAATGAAATGAGGTTTCGAATGGCACTTTATTTATACATGACAGAAGAATGTTCTTTTATTTCAGGGGTTGAACATGTTTAATTTTTGCTCCAGGCTAGCATGATACATACAACTGTTTCTTCTGCCTTCTTGACAGTTCCCCAAGTCATGTATTGCACTGATATTTATGATATTGAACGGTTTACATCAGTTGTTTTTCTTTAATACGTTTGCATTCTGGTAAGTTGGTGACTTTAAGTTTCCCTCATAATATAATCAGTTTTGTAGTTTTGCAAATCATCCGTAGAGCCAATGGGTGAAGAGAGTGATCATGTGCACATTTCTGCCCTTTCAGATGCTTTGGGTGTGCCAATTCGTGTGGTGTACCTTGATATGATGTTGGTGGTGTCAGTGTAAACCATTGTGATTTTCTTCACCCGAAGCTACAAGTGGTAGCATTGTTCCTGTCAAGCCTTTTATTACCTTGCTATATCGTCCAGGCCACTATGACATTCTCTATCCAAAATGATGCGTTTGCTTTTTCTGGTAAGTGGTTCTTCACTTCTTATTCGGGTATCAAGTGTTTCACTGGAACCTAGGTTTACATACAAACCCCGACCTTTTTAGTGATGAGGATGGTTGGCTCGAAAATATATTAATTCATACTGTATTTGGGGGTGGCATTGCCCTTAACTTTGGAGCCACTAACACCCTTGATGGCAGCTTGATGCTGCTAATTGTGGACGAACCGTTGTAACAATGGCTGATTTTCTTCCACGACCCCGGCGAGCGTCTATGATATGTCTAAAGGGGATTTGCGTTTTGTTTGTTTTGCAGGTTGTTACGATGTCCTAATCAGCTGTCTTTGTGGGGGGGGGGGATTTACCTTGCAGGCTGAGATGCGACTGTAATGCAAAATCATTTACACATAATTGGGCTGTTACTCATGCTGCTAAACTGTTTGTGTTCCTTAACTGTGTGATATGAACAAAAAGGTTTTCTCAAGACTTGGATCTTTGTATCTGAGAATAGCCTCGCCCAGAATCTATGTGAAATTGCATCAGTCCAGATATAAATTGTTCAGTCTGCAAATACATAAAATTGATGTTTTCCCCTTCACAACTCCATTGTTACTGGGCATGGGTTGAAGCGTTCCATTGGTTTGGAATTAATGTTTGCTGCCATGGAGCCTGAAGAGTTGGAACGAGCCAATACTAAAAATTAAGTTTTTAGAGAGAGTTTTTATATGTTGAATGAAAAATGATTTGTCAACACATCTATTCATACAAATGGTGTCTAAGTTCGGGTAAATGTCTACGATTACCGAATGTTCATTACACAATTTAATCCAATATTCATTAAACAAATCCAAACATGATTTTACGAAGAATAAGGAAAGAGGAATTGTTTGAAGGGAGTATGCTGGAAGAATTATGGGATAATGTGAAGGACAAAAAGGAAATTCTTAGATTAAATTTCTCGGTGCATATGATTTTGGGTTTATGTTGAAGATTTTTGCAGAAACAAATTCCATCACTATTTGATTACATATATTTCTCGAGTCGATTGGTTTATTACTTCAGCCAAAACAATATACCAAAAAAAGTTACTTTCGAAGGCTAATGTGATTTGAAGTAAGCCAAGAGGCCAACCAGTGGTGCATTAATGTATGTGGTCGGCTCGGAGTGCGTAAAATCAGCTCTCAAATCGGCATAATAATCCTTGATATCAGGTCCTCCGACAATAGCTCCGGTTAGCAAATTAGGATTAGGATTGCTACTCGAAAAATAGGTGCTTCCGCCAACGCAATCGATGCGTTGGGAATGCTGGATAACAGATGGCAAAGACGAGCCCCGGTGATGTATCTTTTTCGGGAACTTTTTACCGTATCCCACCATGTATGACATATTCAACGGATTGCTTCCTAATATGTAGTCCACCTGCATATGGCCATCGACATTTCGGGTTCAAACATTGACTGGTTGTAAAGTTCAGACAGGGATATAGACATGATATGCAGTACCTGGCTTCTTGCAACTTGTATAAGCCTGGCAGGCTTGGCGATGACATTGCTGCAATGGATCGCCCGATCATCTGACTCAGGGTGCGGCTATACACGAGAAGAAGGAACGATAAAGCCGTCGTGCGCTGCAAATTGCTTCCTCCGGGTTTAATAAGGAGCCCACCTGGTGAGTAGGAGACTGATACAGTTGGTGATTCGGGCAACACAGAACAGACAAACTTGTCTGCATTTGTAATGAAAGGTTCAGGAACGTATGGAGTTTGGCTCTTAATCAGCTGCAAGTTTTCAGACAATGTTAGTTTCTTACATGAACAAGTGAAAACTATGACAGTAAATTAATTACTTGCCCTGGAAACGAGCACGTTGATGCCGGCATGCTTCGTATCCCATCCAAATTCCGAAAAGCTACTACTCTTGTCCAAGTTTCGAATGTTGGCTAAAACATAATTCCAGTAATAGGGAGCTTTTGTTGCCCTCAGTAACCATGCTGCACCCCAAACTAGTTCATCCTGTGTTCACCACAGAAAGCTTCGGTTTGAGATCAGAATTTTCGAGTCGATATTTATGTATGTCGATAATTCAAATGTAACATTACCTGATAACCACTAAAATCACAGTAAAAGGGGCACACCCATGGTCCAAGACTATCATTGTATGATCCTCTGTACTTATCTGCAAATTCGAAAACCTGACCCCAGAGCAAACTGTTCTGTTACTCATTGGACATAGCTATAATATAATTTGATACATCAAAGAAGATCAATTTAATGCTAACATTTACCATTCTTGCTCTTTTGAGTAGCCTCGCGGAATATCCTCGATTAATCGGTCTAAATACCATCGAAGACGCTGCAAGGGCAGCAGCTATCTCGGCCGAAACTTCTGATCCCGGAAACTGTTTACTCACCGCATATGGCGTTCGAGGGGTGTCCATGTCTTCAGGCCTCTCCCAGCAGTTGTGATCGCCGTAAGGATCACCGACTTGAGCAAACACAAAGCCGGGGATGCTAGTGGCTTTCAGCAAGTAATCGATTCCCCACTGAATCGCCTCCATCGAATGCTGCAGATCCGAGCCCATGGATTGGCCGAACTCTAACACACTCCAAGCTAGCATAGTCATGGAGAAAGCCATTGGAAAAGTGAACTTAACATTATCACCAGCGTCGTAGTAACCTCCTACCAAATCAACCTTACAACGAAAAAAAAAGGCACAACTAGTTTAGCAAAAGATCTTGAGCTCATTGCACCATATAAACATCGAAAACGACTTACACCGAGCTCCAAGCCGTCACGAAGAGCGGAATCCTTCCTCCAGGTGATTCTTTGCGTTGAAGGTAACTTCCCCGACCTCTGGCCTTCGTAGAACAAAATACTCTTCGTTAATGCATCATCATAATTATGTGAAGCCACTGACTGGATCGCCATCGCCGCCGCAACTAGAACCGATAACCTTCGTATTAGACTCATGATTGAACGTTTCCCGTTGTTTAGTTCCACTTTTAAATGTCCAAAGAGAAACAATATATACATGTAAGCCATGGATATGGCTTAGAGGTTGGATTTTAAAGATGAATGTACGGAGTAATGTTGAAGAATTAGCAAAGAATTAAAGACGAGGATGACGGAAGCCCATCATCACTTTGTAATGAAGCATGCATGCGTTTGGTTGCTTCTTTCTAAACAAAATAATGTGGGAATAAGGCACGCAACAGCCAACAGCGGAGGCTCCGTGTACGGCGGTGACTGATGAGCTAGTTTCAGTGTATTTGGAATTTTGGTTACATAGTTGCCTTTGTCAATAAGTAAGAAAGTACTCTGCACCGAGGTGTGTAAACTACATTGTCAGTCATAAAACCTTAAATTTTTATATTAATTTTAACACTGAATTTTAAAATGCTTCGATATAAATATAAATTTTAATTTTGAGTTTAACTAATACATTAATAATATCAAGAAGTAATATTAAAGTTGCTTTGTTTTATCAAATAACTTTTTCGGTGTTATTTTTATTAAATAATAAAAATAGTTTTATTTAAATAAAAATGAAAATATTGATTGAAATATCATTACCACTTATTGTTGGATAATGTAAGATTATATATAATAAATACTATTTTAAATAATTTTATTATTGAAATATATTTATAATAAAATATAAAATAAAAAGTGAATAAAAATAAATTACTATAAAAATTGTTCTTTATACAAAATTTCTATAAGGATCGAGAGTTTTGGATGCTACTATTTTTTCATCTTTCTTTAATTATTTTATTACTTTAAAATATAGGTAAAATTTGATGATAATAAATGAATTAACTTATATATCAATAAAAAAACGTGTTAACATAAATCCTACACTTACGTTTAAAAAAATACTAAATCATTTGTAAATTATTTTTAAAAATATTAGTATTTAATATGTTAATCAAATTTATAAAATATACAAAATTTAAGTAATCTCTTATAGATTCATGTCAACATTTTTTAATTTAACATTAAAGATGTTTTACTAATTACTTTAAAATATACGACTTCTTACATTCATCTTCCTTCTCCTGAAGGTCACTGGTACCGCTTCCTGGTTGAAGATTGCCTGATTTTCTCCTTGGGATAGAACTCACCCGACTTCGGAAGATCATGAGGTGCATCATCATGCTCTGACAATGATTCTGTAGATTTTGAGCTTGTATCAAGCTTAAGCACATCCTCCCAAGTTTGAGCATTAGATTCTTCACCAACTTCACTTGATGAACAGAAACTATAGCATGTATACCTAGAAGGATTTCGTAAATAATCTGGAAGCGGTCTGGCATGTTCAGCCGGTAGAGATACATCATCTGAATCTTCAGACTCTTCAAACTGTTCTTCCAGATCATCTTTATAAGCACAGTCAAACCTCACACGCTTTTGTGGCTTGGAACCCGTACCAATGTCTTTCCTTTTTAATATAGACCTCAACTGGCAAACATTAGCCGATGCCTTCACGTCTAATGATTCCCTAATTTCTGAATTCGACCTATCACGATAATTGACCTTCTGACCTTCATCTTCCTTCAGCCTGGTTTTTGCTGCCATATGATTAGCGCGGTGCTCCTTGCTACTGGTATGGTTCAATGTTCTTTGAAGGATATAATGAGAATTCAAAAAAGACCCATGATCAGTAATGTACTCATATAAAGGTATTCACCAGCATTTTCCCTGCTGAAGCCACTTTGTCATATTGATCTTCCTCTTCCTGTGATACACAGTAAACAAAAATAAGCTCAACTGCAAATAGATTAAAGAAGAAAAGGAAGAGGTGGGGTGAGTTCCGAAGACCAAAAGGAAAACACAGATGCACTCTGCACACATAATATTCACCAAATTCTTGTCAATGCATTAAACTGAAACAATTTCTTTCCTGTACTCACTCAACATGTACAATGCCTTTTATTGATATGGATTTAAGCTAGATCGCAAAATAAATAAATCAATTCATGTGAGAAGCATTTAAGTTATAGCCTAAGTAACAATGCATTTTAGCTAATTCGGCACAGTAAATGCATGATACTAAGTTCCAACCATCTTCGTAGACTTACTCCAGATGTGCCAAACGCCTTCAATCCATCCATATAAAATCGTAAAGGCTGCAGGTTTTCAATCATCTTAAAAATAAAGGCTTCTTCTTCTACCATAATTAACCTGATTTATTCCTATCATCCTTGATTAATTACACCTTTTCCGAACATAAGTCAAAATTTCTCTCAAATTGTAAAGAGCTTATAACAATACATGTATGATTCACGTTACACGCAATGCCATCTTAATTTCAAAAGAGTAATAAACGTTCACAAGATTCAATTTCTAGGTTGAAAAGCTTTGAAGACAACTCATCTAAGTATTTGTTAAAAAAAATCAACTTAATCGCCCCTGATAATCAAAATTTCTTAACCTAAATAACCAGATAATTTTCGTACAAGAAGGAAAAAAAAGTAATATTGCAAAAAATAATAAAGTATTAAAAATTAATTTTATTATTATATCTTGAGAGTAAAAGAACATTTTAAAAAAATAGGAGTGTAAATTGTATTAACCAACAACGTCATACATACATTCAAGACAACCACAAGCTAAATATAATGATGATCGATTAGTGATAGCCTAATGGGTAAGAGCGTGAATAGTTGAGACAACGATATACAAAGATATATTACCGTTGATGGTTTTAAATGGTACATTCTCACTCCCTTGTTCATAGTACTTACCCTTTTTTTCTGTTTTGGCGATATTCATACTCTTGGTTTTGAATTTCATAGGCGAATATTGATATTTCCAAAGGGTAACGACGTGAATCATTTGTCTATGTATTTAGATGTTGCGGACACTGAAAGTTTACCCTACGGATAGAGTAGGTATGCACAATTCACTTTGGCAGTAAATAATCAAATTTATAATAAATATTCAATCAGAAAAGATATCGCCTTTTACCTTGATGTCCATACACGTATTGTTTATATTAAAGCATAGTGAGTTTGTTTATGGATTTAAATAGTTCGTAAAATGGTTGCATAAAAAATGATGATTTGATCTTGTATATGGAGTTGCATAATGACCCTATTAGTGAGGTTTTTAGAGGTTGTATTTGTCAAAATTAGTGCCAATTTTTTTGTTGCACTTGCTTGAACCTTGGTGGGTACATATGTACCTTGAAGAAACCGACAGTCTTCAGTGGTAGTGGCTTTATTTTATTTTTTGCTTTGGTGTTCTTCCTATTATAATAATTATTCGATGATCTCTATAAGATGTCCAAAAGCCTTTTTTCTTGCTTTCTCATTTTGTTCTTCTGTTCTGACATCACATGCAGATTATATTTTGGTATGGTATTATAGCTGTAATTGAACCTTTTCCCCATTCTTTAGGGCTGTTATGACTAAGTTTACCATATCATTGAGAGAAATTGGGACAGAAGAAGTTCTTCGATCCCAGGTAAATTTCTGAAATATTGTTTGAGCATGAATATCAAATTTATTACCGAGGAGTGAGGTCTAAAGATAACTGATTTTGGATAAATTCAACTTTCTGGCATTCTCCTACTACTTCTGGAAGAATTCTTACATACAGAAAATGATAATCTTTTAGAAATTTCAGTAGTGAATAATCTTTTGTTGGTAGTTTTCTTATGGATATTTAAAATTGCAATACACCAAGTTTTATAGAACTGTCCTCGTGTCAATTTTTTAAACTTTTAAACATTATGAGAATGTAAATGTTATAACTATATTGAACTTTGACACTGTATACAGTTATTTTCCAATCCTATTGACAATCAATAATATTAGACGTTATGAATCTCCAGGTTGAAACCGAGCTAAATGACAAATTACTGTAGTTTGTCAATATTGATTTACTTGAGGTCAAGGTAACCATCTGTCTTGCAAATGAGATTGAAGCTACTCTATAAAGTTGAGAGGATTTGGGACCAGCTGAAAGCTGGGTCGCCTTATTAACTTTTTCTATGAGAAACAGTTTATTAAGAGGAACATTGGTTAGATTCATCCAACTTCTAATGATCTGTGTATTAATCTGGATCATATCTGTTTTTATTTGTTTAGCCTTTTGTTTTAAAATATCTTCTATGAGTGCAGAAAGCACGTAAATGTTTTGACTAGGCTAGTCTCATTCACGATCCAACTTTAGAAGTTAAATTTGTTTTGCCAGTTTAGTTTGTTTGCTTGCTTTATTTACATTGCTTGAATTTGATATTATAGTTTTTGAGTTGAGGAAAAGTACGAATAGTAATATTGCCAATGTTTTGGAAGAGGTATCTTGCAGAATGGCTTGCTTTGGTTTATAATTTCATGTATCTGACATTCTTATCTATGCGTGTTGATAGATATTTCTTACATACTCTGACATGGTTGGAGTTATTCTAGGAACTTCATAATGCGAGGTCGACATTTGAACAGGCTCATTTTAATCAAGTGAGTGAATTGCTAGCAAATAATTTCTAAATTTATGTTGCTGATAATTCAAATTTGGTTCAAGATATGTAATTGCATGACTGTGGTTTACAATTACAAGTAACTGCTCTTTCAAATGTTGATGCCAGAAAGCGATTTGAGTTTTTGGAAGCTGTTAGTGGGATTATAGATGCACATCTTCGATACTTCAAACAGGTTATCACATGGCAGAATTTCTCAGTTTCTTTCTCATATCACTTGCTGAATGCATTGCTCAAGACGAATTTTTGTTATTTATAGGGCTATGAATTATTGCATCAAATGGAGCCATACATTAATCAGATTTGTTGTATAAATTTCCTCTAGACCAAGACATGTATCTTTACATCTCTGATTGAATTGTATTTTCTTCATCCAATTGTTTTCCTCAAAGAAAAAGGAAAATATTATCTCTATACCAAATATAGTATCAGTTATTTGAGAGATTAGTCATGGCATACTATAAGATTTTATGGTTGGTATGGTCTTTGAGCCAAACCAAAGCAAAAGGGAACTTTGTATCTTGTTATTACCGGTGATTCCAATGATTTGATTCCACTATGTATGCATATGTGCTATTTGTTGAAATACAAGTCCTTCCGGTCATTACCTATGCACGACAATCAAGGGAAAGATCCAACTATGAGTAGGCAGCTTTAAATGAAAAATGCAAGAGTACAAACAGCAGGTTGATAGAGAGAGCAGATGGTCGGTATACAAGCAACAAGTAGAAGTTCACATAAAATGATAGAGGCAGTAATGCAGTCTGCTGAGAAGGGGAAGTCTTAAAGAAGATATTAAGTTATCCTATTTTATTATTCCCACTGATGCTTTTGCATCTATGTACTATATATCTGCATCTGAAACTTTGGATATTCCTACAGGTTCAAACCATTCGACAAGGTTTTCTGTCAAAATGTTCATCAAGTTTGAAAGGGGACTGGAAAAGAAGATTTTTTGTTCTTGATAGCCGTGGAATGTTGTATTACTACCGCAAACAGTGCAACAAATCATTTGTAAGACTCTTCCTGCTCCTACTTTGGGGAAAACGTTGAAAAATAGTGCTTGAAGTGATGTTTGTTATCAACGCTCTATTATGCTCTTATGATTCTTCTTGGTATATTAATATGGGTTCGGCCGTTAGCTTTCCGTCAGTGAAATAGCTCTGAAATTGGATCTGGATTATTGGGTCGATGGCTTTCTTCTTCTCATCATCATGATGGCACGTCACACAGTGAAGCTGCTTACATCCACAATTAAAGTTGATGAAAATCTATACTACTACAAAATACCTATATAACTTCAATTCATATTTTTTTACTAAAAATGTACTCTCTTTCTTCTCATAAATTCATTGTCTCCTCTATGCTTTAATCAATACTTTACCTTCAAAATGTTTTTTAAAAATATAATATTGTAAATATATTTTATAATTTTAAATTGTATTTAATATATTCAATAACATTATAATGTGAAAAGAATATGAAAAAATTGTTGGAAATAAAACACTCACACAAACAACTTTTATTGAAACTCAAACAAATATTACAAGAGCACTCTCACTCAAAAATAAAAACTACAACTCACTCTTATAAGACTTTGCTTCTTCACTCACTTAGAAGCTCTTAATTTTTCTTGATGCTTAAACTAAAATGGGAAGGGGTATTTATACTACTCAAGAACAATCCTACACCACACAAATAAAATAATTTAAACCATTAAAGTCTACAAATACCTAACTCTCACCTAACTAAATTGATGTAAGCAATGACATCTTCATCTAATTGATGTAAGCAATGACATCAATTTAGTTTGGGTTTGGGTTTAGGCTCCCATAATGGATCAAGTTTATGATCCAACACCCCTTTAAACTTGATCTTGTGATTCCTAGTAAGTTCCTTAATCTTATGAAGTCTTCGCTCGTCAGTGGTTTGGTAAAAATATCGACAACTTGATCTTGTGACTTCACGTATTCAACTTCACATCATTTCTTGCAACACACTCCCTTATATAGTGGTAGCGAATATCGATGTGCTTGCTTCGATTATGGAATACTGGATTTTTTGCTAAGGCAATGGCTGACTTGTTGTCGACACAAACCTTGGTAGGCTCTTC